CAAGCAAAAACTTAGAAAAAGGATTGTTGTTCAATACTTTCATCTTGGAAAAATTCAGGTGACTCTGATTCTCTTAAACAGAAGAGCATACAAATTTACAGGCTCAAAATTAATTTGAATGAATGCACATGAAATACATATATTATCACTCTAGTGTTCTGTGGGTTTTTACCTTACTTATGCTTTAGCAGACAGACAAAACTCAATATTCAATGATTAAAAAGTCTAATATCTGCTAATTGGTCTAATAGAATTTTGACATCTCCTAGAAGTGATTAAACATTGAATATCAGATCCATATAAACATTTTTGAACCAGTGAACACTGCCATAAAATAATAATAAAAACAAGCCACAGGATCAATACCCCAGTACAAAGAACTAACCAGAAATAAAATTCCAAATAAATACAACATCCTTCATTGATCAACTTAGATTTGCTAAGACAAGCTTGGAAACTAGCCAGTTTACCCTAATTTCACAATATCCTGGACCCAGCTAAGATTGACTAACCCTAAAGTGTACAGGCTTCAGACAGAAATCAGTAAGCTAAATTTCTAACCACTCACTCATCTATTAAAAATAATCATACACGGGCCCTCCCTGGTGGCGCAGCGGGTTAAAGCGCAGCACCGAGAAGCTAAAGCCACTTCCTCATGAGTTCGATTCCCGCTGGCCCCGGAGGTGCCCACATGGCGTGGCAGACCTCTCCTGACCCGCCCGCTGCTCCCCTCAGCAGTGTACTTCGTCGATCTGCCTGTTCTGCTCCCCACTCTGTCTCTGGTGAAGCCTCTCGCTGCCCCTGAGCCTCTGGCCTGTACCCCAGTTCTGTATGCACAAATAAATAAATCTTTAAAAAAAATAATAATAATCATATACGTATGTAATATCAGTGAAATGTCATAAAACAAAGTTTGACTTGCATAAAGTAAATTTACAAATAATGTGCCCCAAAGGCAAGAAGAAAATAACATTCCCTATAAAAGCATATTTTCCATACTTATAATCTAAATCAAATTGCTATTTATTTTGCTTTTGGAAATAATTACTGCCTAACAATTTCCAGTGACTAAATACACACACCCATATAATATTACAAACTAATCTGGCAATCAAAAAAGTATCTATTTTATAGTAATATTCTTTCCAATTATTTGTTTTCTTTATATTACTTGTAAAGTAACTTTATATTGCAGCAACTTATGATATAATCATGTTTAGAAAATTATGATATAATCATGTATAGAAAAAAGGGCATAAAGCTTTCTGAAACTTCGTCAGCTTAACTGTCTCAACCCAGATTAATTCAATAAATTCATTATATAAATTACTAAAATCCAGGCATCAGAACAACTTGAATTAAGGAAAGGAGGAGCACTGTGTCATTTTTGAGGCATTTTAAATCCAGAAATATATGTACTTAAAAATTGAGGACAGGTCCTCCCTGGTGGCGCAGCGGGTTAAAGCACAGCACTGAGAAGCAAAAGCCACTTCTGCATGAGTTCGATTTCTGCCTGCCCCGGAGGTAAGCACATGGCGTGGCAGACCTCTCCTGGCCTGCCCACTGCTCCCCTCAGCAGTGTACATCGTGGATCTGCCTGTTCTGCTCCCCATTCTGTCTCTGGTGAATCTTCTCACCCTCCACATCTCTGGCCTGTCCCCCAGTTCTGTATGAATAAATAAATCTTAAAAAAAAAAAATTGAGGACAATAACACCACCGAGAACAGTCAATAATGGAAGTCAAAGACTTTATATAAAAAACTTTCATTTTACCACTTCTGCTTTATGGAAAATTCCCTAAAACATCAATAAAAACTAAAGGAAAATGAAGTTGTTGAACAATGAAAGTGACTTACATGAGAAAACATAATGACAGTAGGGAATGTAGTGCTCAGCCTAAAATTTTTTAAAAGTGTTTCTAATTAAATTCACCATCATAAAAAATTAATCACTAAATTTAATTTCTTATTAATATGATGTTTTACAAAATTTGTATTCAAACATATTTTATTAGATTTTCTAACTAAATCAAATGAACAGTATTTACTTTCATTGCTGGTTTATGGGCTTTGATAACTACATGAAACTATTCTATTCAGGTAAAATATATATCATTTTAGTAACAAACATTTTTACTAACATTTTATTCACTTAAACATGGAAAAGTAAAAAAATAGTATAGCTAAGTTTTTGCATTTGTGTATATTCAGATGTTGCCACCCAATCTTGGATGTGTTCCACTGAAAAGTCCTTACCTTCCAATTACTTGCCAGATCAATCCATACTATCCATAAGAAATTCCTATTATAGGCCTTGTACCCAGAGTCTCCAATGATCTGAGGAAGAGGGATACAAACTAAAAGGCTCTCTAGTACATATGCTTACTTCTATAAAGGCAAGAACTTTCCAAGTTCTTGGCTAGATACTCCATAACCTCAGATGAACGGTGTTATGTGTGCATTTATACCACTGTTTAAGATTGTGTACCACATGAAGATGAGGACCCAGCCTTTGTGGTCACCATTTATACATCTCACAATATATAGGAAGCTCTACGAGAAGACAATGTTGTCTGAAATGGCAAGATGCAAAATAGTGCAAATGATATAAATCTGTTATAAAACATAATGATGACAAAATCTTCAGAGATTGTATGTTTATATACAGAGAAAAAGAAGGAATGACACAGTAATTGTCAATATAACTTAACTAAGGGAGTGTGATTGTCAGAAGAAGGGAGAAAAGTGAAGGGAGCACAAAAGGTATGTAAAAATCATAGGGCAATTATTATGGTGAAAAGTTATATTTTAATCATTTAAGTAATGGAGCATTTAAGAACTATCTCAGATGGAGCAAGGAAAATCAGAAAACATAGAAGATCCATTAATTTATGGGGTTTTACATTCCAGAATAAAACAACTAATAAATAAAAAAAATAAGATTTTGTATAGTAACACATCTTCTGAAAAATGTTAAGATTTAGGCAATGGAGCAAGATAATTTTGAACTAATTGAATTGGGGATTCATCAGGGTAGAAAGGGTATGAAATTCAGAATTCACTGGTATCATTTAGAAAGTAAATGGAGAAAAGGCAGAGAGTAAAAAATTCTACCCTAAGGAGCCCTGACATTTCTAGAATAGCATAAGGAAGATGAACCTCCAGAAATGATCAAGAAAAAAATTTCCTCAGAAAACTAAGGGTTGACTTTTCACGTTAGTGTTAAGGTTGGAGCAATGAATTCAGTTTCATAAAAAATGCTGGCAAAATATTCATAAGAGCAGGTGAACTGGAGAAGTAAGGATGAAAAATTATATAAGATGAGACAAAAATAGTAGAGTGAAGAAGTATAGATGATAGGACAGCTTTCAATGAGTTTTGCTGTAAAATGTGGTGCAGAGAAATGTAGCAATGAATGGAGAGGCATAATAAGATTTATGAAGTCTTTCCCAAGTGATGATATTTATGAAAGGCTTAAGTATAGGTTGGGGAAAGAACAACAGTATTTCCTTACACTTGAAGAATACATCAGTATATGATGACAGTGTTTTCCCCTAAGTGTAATTAATCTTAGAAATTATTCCACAGTGAGTTATTTAAATCAATATAGATTTATCTGACATCAGTTATCTCCTAGATAAATGTCCATAACTAGCAAAAACAAAGAAACTACAATTTGTATCCGAGTTGACATATTCACCTTATTTATTATTATCCAAAATTATAGAGTAGAAAAGATGTAAAAACATGAAAAAATAAATTAAGAGTAATAGGCAACATGTCTTTATATATTGTTACATATTAGTTAGATCAAAATAACAGCTCAATCTTACAAATTTCCTAAAATATGTCATTTCTACTGCAATAGCCTTTATACTATGTATGCAGTGAATAAAATGTTTTTAAAATCAGTGATGATCAATGTACCATTTCTTTTCCTTTATTCCATTCCACTGACATGCTTTAGACTTACCTAAAATGAGAAAAATATAAGTCCCTTACTCAAACATACCTGTTTTGGTACTTTGTGTGTACTAGAAACTAGGAATTTCTTAAGCTTTGGCATCATAAACAGGACATTTGCAGCTAGAATTGTAGCAGTCTTTTGCAAACAGCTTTTAACACAATTATCAAAGAAGCAAGGAATTTTTTCCTGTCTACAAATCCTTAAGACACTGTCAGTCAAAAAGTTAACTGACACACCTTAATTATCAGAATAGAAACTTATTTTGAATAAATTGCTTAATATACTTTTATATAGCTCTTAATTTTTATCCAATGATTACCCAAGTAAGGGATGTTTCCCTCAATATACAATTTTATACTTACAAAGACAAAAATCCACAAAGATAGCTTTTAAAAACTGCATACAATATTATCTACCAAGTCTACTTTCTCTACTCAGTTTTCTTCCTATTAAGAGCAGTGGGGATGAAGCAGATATTTTCAATGAACCCAGAAAGAAATAATGATCTTTTATTCTTTTACAACTGAATAAAGTAGTTTATTACCCCATGACAAACATATCAACAAAACAAAATCACTCTCATAAGAATGTCCTTTCACGTCAATTATTTTCTAGTTATAACTTTTTCTTTTAGTAAAAAAGAAAAAACTTCCAAATTTCTCTTTACATCTTTTTTAAAATTCTTAATTCAGTCAGAGGAATTATGACCCAAGAAACCAAAACTGTAACATTCAGCATAGAAATACAAGCTATGTTGATACAACACACTTTAAGTGTGCAAAACAGTAAACTTGAATTTTACAACTAATAGTTGTATCAATCATTTCTCACCTTAGTTTGAACAAACTACTTGAATCCAAAATTAATACAGTAGATAGTATAACCTTAGCAGATAGAGGGAAGGGCCCCATATAAACAGATAAAAACTGACACAATTTTATAAGAGTAAGAGGTGGTGGTGGTTTGAATAAATTCTCACTCAGGTTTTTGTGATTTTGCTTTGTTTATTAGTTTGTGCAGTTTAATAGGCTTACCATCTTGCTGGCCATGAAGTGTCTGTGGGCTTTGCATTCTTTCCTCAAGATTGGAGCTAAGATCAGAGTTCACAGCTGACATCCGTGTTGAATCGCTCATATCAAATTCATCACTTTCTATTAAACTTTCATCCTGAAAGTAGTTATAAAATATCATCATGCATTAAAAATTAGAATATATTCAAATAATGAGCATTT